TGTAATTTTTCCAAGAATTATCTGCATTTCTGGAATAGCCAACTTTTCTACCACTGCCACTGTCACTTCCCCAGTCTTGAATGGACTTTCTAATGTTATGTTACACGTGGAAACAGTAATCCTCTCTCCATTTATTCAATAGATGACTACTGTCTTGGGCAATATTTCAAGAGGAATGCAAATATTTTCATAACTTGCTATTAGATACAGACTTGATTCTGTATCCCTCAATATTTTAACATCTTTACCTAGTCCCACTGTTCAATCTGAGGAAATCTTACCTGTACAGGTGAAGTATTTGAAAAGATCTGGCGTTATCTTACTATCCAGCTCGTGACTAGGCTATGCACTCACCTGTAGCTCCTTGAATTCTCTTGGGATTTCCTTCAGTACCTCAACTGATCCCATTGGTTTAGCCTCTTCTACAACATGCTTTTTCCCTGTGCCTTTCTTAAACCACCATTACTGTGACTTTAACTTTCTGTCCATCAAGATGAGTTCTTATTACTTCTGGAAGTGAATTTTTAAACTCCTCCAGCAGAATAATGTCTCTAAGAGCCTTATATGTCTTTTCTGTATTTAATGCTCTCGTCCATCTACAAAGTTGCTCTGTTTAATACTTTCAAACTTGATATTAGTCTGACCTGGTTCCATTCTTACGTTTCTGAAAAGTTGTCTATATGCTTCTGTTATCAACTCGTAGCACTCAAACTATCCTGCTTTAATTTTTCATATTCTCCTAACACTTCCCCTGACAGCACTGCAAACATCTCACTAGCCCTGCCTACCAACTCGGCCTGAATTAACATTATCCACAGAGTCAATGGCGGCTTCATCTGTTTAGCCAATTGCTCAAAGGAAATATTCTCCATCTTTTTCATAGAATTTTGATAATGTTTGGGCATGTTTGTTTTTTATATGTAGCAGGCTGTTGGCTACGCTGAGTTTGCTTATCATTACTTCTACCTTGTATTTTTACTTCTGTCATTTGTTTTTAGCTTCAAATTCCAACTTCATCTTTTCCAATTCGAACATTCTTTCCTTTTTTCACTCATTAGCTATCCATTTTTATTCTTTGTTGTTCTGTTAGGACAATCCTTTCCTTTCCTTTTTCTTCTGCCAGGGGAGTTTTTTCCTTTTCTTTTTTCCTTAGCTAGGAACCTTCTTTCCCATTCTTCTCTCTCCTTTTCTTTTTGTTCAGCTATGAACCTTCTTTCCCTTTGTTTATCCTCTAACCCCAGTTGTCTAATTTGCTGTTTTTTTTTTAATAACTCTGCTGCATTTGACTGCTTCTCTGATATACCTAAATACGTGATTAGATCCTTTACAATTTCAGCTTCCTTATTATTCCTAGTTAAACCCAATTTTAGTCTACCTGCTAATTCTACAAGTGTCACCTTTTTCTGTCTTTCTCAGATTTCTTGGCAACTTTGGGAAGCCTCTTCGACACCAAGAACTTCTTTAGCAATATTAAGAGACATTTCCCCACTTTTGATTTAACCAACAACAAGCAACAATATTAAACAGATTTTCCACTTTTCACTTAAGTTTTATTTGAAAATCTTGGACACTAATCCCCAAGTCTGTTTAAATCTACTAGGACATTTCATACCCTGAATCTGTTTAAATCTGTTCAAATCTGACCAAATCCGTTCAGATCCTTCTGAATCCCCAAAGAGCCACTAATCTGTTATAAAGCGGAGGTTGACCCCGTCTAAGAACTGCAAAGAACTGAAACACCCAATGAGGAGTGCCTTACCCTATAATCTGTTAAAAGAAGCGTGAAAAGTGGTGTAACCTGCATTTCAGCAACTTCTAGGGGTTAAATAAAATAAATCCCTGACACTCACTTTAAAATTAACAAGTAACAGTGAACAAATTGACTAAACTATTAATAAACTGAATAAACACCTTTTAATTACTAACTACTCTCGAATAAAACAAGATTCTAATAGTATGCTGTTCAAATAAATACGAATCCCACTTTTCATATTACACACACACACACACACACATATATATATGCATATGTCTGTCAACTCCTCTGTCAAGAATGCCTTCTCCATCGATTTTTCAGTGAGGAATGTTAACTAGTTGTGCCATGGGTAACTTTGTTATTTAGATGGTGCTTTCTCTAAGACTCAGAGGAGATGGTGAGAGCCAGTGATTCTCTCTTGCCAGCTGAGGACTGTTAGCTCTGGTGGATGGCAGTTACCTCTTCTTTGTCCAAGTGTCCCCCTCTTTTATTCCCTTGACAACATATCAACATTCCTAACGATCGGATTGGTCCTATATTGTCAAAACGGCCAGTTTTAAATTTAATTGGTTTTTGGTATCTAAGTGCCTGGTTCAAATTACTTGGCCAAATTCATAACTTGTCTTTGTAAAAACTGCTGCTTGCCTTGTTAACTGTACGGCCTTTCAATACACATGTTTCAATTTGTGTGCCGTCTGTGTACTTGCAAACTTTCAAGCTGCTGTTCACAGAGATTTTAAATCACTAAACATGGAAAAAGCACATCATGTTTTAAAGGAACCACGCAATGCTATCCCCTTTAGCATTTTGAAAGCACCAAATTCTAACTTCCTATCTCCCAGTCCGCAAATACTCTACAGAACCTCATGTTTCCTGGCTGTAATTTTGAAAGTCTAAGTTCTATATTCATTTTTATTTTATATAAGTGGGACTTGTATTTATTGGAACAGCATAACATTAGAATCTTGTTTTATTCGGTAATAGTAGTTAGATGGGGTTTATTCAGTTTGTTAATAGTGTAGTTAATTTGTTCACTGTTAGAGTTAGATAAATAAATTGTTATTTGCTGTTTGAAAATTAAGTGTTTTGTATTTGTTTAATGTATACATTAGATGCTGTTGAATGGCGAGTTACACCACTTTTCATACTCCTTTTACAGATTATTGGGCGAGGTGCTCCTGTTTAGATGTTTCAGTTTTAGTTCTCAGAGGAGTCAAGCACTGCTTTATAAAATATTGGGTCTCGTGTCTGGGATTTGAATGGATCTGAACGGATTGGGAAGAATCTGATCATATCTGAATGGACTTGAATGGATTTTGACGAATTTGAATGGATCTGAATGGATTGCAACAATTTTGTATACAATAGATCCCAGCAGGTTTAAACAGACTTGGGGATTCATGTCCTAGCTCTTTAAATAAAACTTAAGTGAGAAGTGGAAAATCTGTGTAATTTCGGTTGCTTGTTGGTTAAATCAAAAATGGGGAAATAGCTCTTAACATCGCTAAAGAGTTCTGGGGAGTTAAAACAAAAAGATGAGATGACAAAGGAGTTATATCATAAACACTACTCTGAAAAGAAATCAGTTGTATTCCGGAATGCTGTCACATTAAGGAAAAAATTTAAGATGGAAATGGAGACCTTGGCAGGTTAGTGCAGATGGAAAATCGGTGGACATTCAGCAAATTGTGTTCCCATTAAAATGCAGACAGAGGAGCTATTTTGGGGAGCACACGAACTACCTGTAAGAGTACTTCTAAGAGTGAGGAAGACTTTGGCTAAGACACGGAAGTATTTCTATTGAACTGGATTACATAAAGATGTGGTTGAATTTTGCCATACCTCTCATACATGTCAAGTGGTAGAAAAGCCGCAAGCTGTAATAAAATGAGCACCTTTTGAAGCCAATTCCATCATTTGAAGAACCTTTTTATGCAGGTTATAATTGATTGTGTGGGTCCCCTACCTGAAATTAAAATTAGGAACCAGTATTTGCTAACCATAATGGCTATGTCTACAATGTTTCTGGAGGCAATTCCATTACGGGATGTCAAGGAAGAAAAGATTGTCTAGGAGTTGCTTGCTTTCTTTGCCCGTTGTTGACTATCCAGAGAGATTCGACCACACTAAGGGTCCAATATTACTGCCAAATTATTTAAGAAGTTCATGGATAGTTTAGCGATCAGATACTTTTAAATCAAGTGCGCACCATCTTGAATCCCACGGAACACTGGACAAGTGGCATCAGACCCTAAATACAATGCTGAGAGCTTATTGCCAAGATTGCCCGATGATTGGGACAATGGTATCCCTTTGATATTATTTGCTATTAGAGATGCTCCTAATGAATCGATTCAGTTTACTTCTTTTGAATTGTTATTTGGACACAAAGTAAGAGGGTCTTTCAAATCAATTAAGGAAAAGTTGATAGGTCCGAAGTCAGAGATCTCACAGTTTGACCATGTATCTGAGGTGAGAGAGAGACTAAACAGAGTAGGTGAATTATCTGGACAACATTTGAACGTGTCACAGCACCGAATGAACAAAGAAGCAGATAAGAGATCTACGATTTACATGTTTGTTCATGAGGATAAAATATTCGTGCTGTTACCAGTTATTGGAGATGCCTCAAAACAATGCTAACTTGTTCCTGTGAGATTGAGAAGAAGTTAAGTCAGGTGAATTATGTGGCAAAGATGCCAGGTAATGAAAAAAAGTTACCGGTATGTCATGTGAACATGCTCAAAACTTACTATGACAGGGAAAGGGAACCGGAGAAATAGGTATTAGATGCTGCTACTCTGAATGAAAAATCAAATGCAGATGATTTGGATTTTGATGTGCCTCAGAACAAATTGAATAATGAGAAAGTCCTTAAGGAATGAGATAGGGTAGTGAGCTATCTCTCCCCAGGACAGAGAACTGAATTAAAAGACATGTTACAGTGCTGTGAGGACCTCTGTAGAAATAGAATTTGGAGAAGTAATACCCGAGTACATGAGGTTAACATGGGGAACGATAAAACAATACCCGTTGAGCCCTAACCTCTCAACGCAGGGCAGGTTCTGATGGGTGTGAAAGACATTTCTGTTTTTGTAACCACAAATGGGCTGTATCAATTTAAAGCAGTGCCATTTGGAATGGAAAAAAAAAACACATCAGCGACTTTTGAAAGACTTGTGAATGGAGTTGTGGCAGGATTGACTAATTGTGCCATCTACATTGTTGACTTAATGATCTTTAGCCATTCGTGGAAAGATCGCATGGATTATTTGGCAGAGCTCTTTGAGAAACTACAGGAGGTAAAGTTGTTCATGAAATTGGCAAAAACAAAATTCGTGAAGGTGAAAGTGACACTTTTGGGGCACGACTTCAGACATGGACAGATAACACAGAGGAACGTGAAGACAAACGCCATCGAGGAATCCTCAAGAATAAAGTGCTACGATTTTTAGGATTAAATGCATTCTACAGGAAATCTTTTACCAAACTTTAGTAACATGTTGGTACCGCTGATGGATTTGTTAAACAAAAAGAACATGAAATGTCAGTGCACAGAACAGTTCCAGGAGGCAATTTTAAAAACTGAAAAGCAGTATTAACCACCAATTTTAGCCATACCAAATTTTTGAAAACACTTCAAAGTCACCATTGATGCAAGTGATCTAGGGGTTGGAGCTGTATTGTTACTGAAGGATGATTGTGGTATTGAAAGGCCAATTGGTTATTTTTCAAAGAAGCTCAACATACACCAGAAAAAAATGTATTCAACCATTGAAAAAGAGCTATTTAATTTGATACTGGCCTTACAACATTTTAATGTTTACATTGCAAACAGTGCATCAGAGATGATTGTGCATATTGATCACAATCCTTTGACATTCCTGGAAAGATTTAAGGACAAGAACACCAGAACATTTCATTGTAATCTTATGCTACAGGTATTTAATTTACAGATTGTACATGTTCTGAGTCGTGAAAATATTTTGACGGATGCTTTATCACCGATTTAAAAGAAATGTGTTTATATTGGATAGAAACGGTAGTGTTCAATGCTGTATATCTATATATGTAAGATTAGTATGAAATTTTCAAATCAAGATTATTGCGATATGGATCTAGTAATATAATAGAGATAAGATTTTAAAACAAAATAAATGAAGAAGCCATTTTTTTCATAATGATGGTTCATTTTGTTTCTTAAGGAGGAAGTGTTGCGAAGTTGGGTAGAGTACTTGTGGATTGGAAGGCAGGAAGTTAGAATTTGGCATTTGTAAAATGTTATGGGGTAAAGTAATGTGTGATACGTTGAAAAAATGATGTGCTTTTTCTATGCTCAGAGGTTCAAAAAGGATACCTGTAGTCAGGAGCTTGTGTGTTTGCAGCTGCACAGAGAGCACTGGAATTTAAACATTTGTATCAAAAGGCCATACAGGTAGCAGGCGAAGCTGCAGTTTTACCAAGGTTTTGAATCTAGTCAATCATTTTGAATCAGACACTTAGATACCAAAAACAAATTAAATTTTAAATCAGATGGTCTTGACAACATAGGACCAATGCTAATGTAAGAAACTGATATGACCTCAAGAGTATAAAAGAAGGGGTAGTTGGGCAAAGCCGGAGAACTAACGGCCATCTGCCAGTGTCAACAGCTCTAAGCTCTCCAGAGACAATTGCTGGCTCTCACAGTCTCCTCTAAGTTTTAGTGAAAGAACCATCGAAATACCAATGGTGATAACTGCACAACTAGTTAGTATTTCTGACAGGAGAATAAACAGAGAAGTCGTTCCTGACAGAACATTCAATGGAGAGGGCCCAGAACGTTCTGGAAGACACGTAACCTGGCTGTAATGTTGAGGCTCTAAATTCTGTGTTTTTTAAAAATTTATATAAATGGCCCTTATATTGATTGGAACAGCATAACGTTACGATCTTGTTTTACTCAGATAGTTAGTAGTTAGAAGAGATTTATTTCGTTTGTTAATAGTTTAGTTAATTTTTTCACTGTTAGAGTTGGATAACTAAATTGTAACTTGTTTATTGGAAAGTGAGTGCTAGGGATTTGTTTTATTTAACCACCAGTAGTTGCTGAAAGGCAGTTTACAGCATTTTTCACACTCCTTTTAACAGATTATAGGGCGGGATGCTTCTCTTTGGGTTTTTGGTTTTAGTTCTGGGACGGGGGGGGGATGCGGATTAACCCCCTCTGTATAACATGATGTTACTATAAAATACAACACACAGAGAGCGCTTGACAAGATAAATGTTGGGAAGACATTTCCACTCCTAGGCAGTGTCTTGAACGTGGGAATATAAATAAGGGACGTTGATTTAAAACTGAGATGTAAAGAAATTTGTCTCTCAGCACGGATTTTCCAAGTACATTTTCTAACTTACACCTAACCATAAAAGTGACCTCAATCTGATCCGATCTAGCAGGTTCCAAGAGCAGAATGGAACATCAGAACATGGGACAGAGGAGCATGAGTGGTCCATTCGACATTACTTTGACATTACTCCACCAGTAAATAAAATCATGGTTCCTCTCATTGAGATCACAGCTGCACGTTTCTGCCAATACCCCATTCACCCTGATTCACCTGGCTATCGAAAATCTAACTATTCAGTCTCGATATAATTTAAAGATCCAGCCACCACAAACTTCTGGGAAAAGAATTCCCACTTGAATGACTTCCCACTTTATGAACTTCTCCTGATCCCTGCTCTGACTGAGGTTGGAGGGGGTCACTGTTTCCTTTTCTAGTCCTACTCCACTGGTCACAACAAATTTTAAATGTAACCAGGTTGGTGATATGGCCAGTGATACAAGTGCCAAACTGTGTCAGGTTCAGTGATAGGAACAAGTCAGGCGGATTTCTTTAGTCAGGCACAGATAACTGGTTTATTCCTGAAATAAGCTTCCTCAACAAATGTTGAAAGCCTAATGACCACACGTTTGGACGATACAAACACCCATCAAGTATCCACCTGATACAGTCTCCCAATACCTTATAAGAATCAATAAGATCACTTCTAATTTCAAAGTAACCTGCTAAACCTTCATAATAAAAGCCCTTCATCAGGAATAAGTAAAGTGAAACATCCCTGAACGGCTTTCAATGTAATTATATCGTTCCTCAGGTAAGGAGACAAAAAAGCACCTTCACACACAGTCTTCTGAATGTGTTCTTAGTAAGACTGGGTACAGCTGCAGCAACACGTCCTTCTTACAAAGTTGATTAAAAGTGCAGCTAGCGATCATATTTTATGTGTCTTTTCCTTTTAAATTTCATTTTTAATTTATGACAGATATTTTCTTTTCTCAGAGTGTTGTGTTTCTTTGGAACTCTCTTCCCCATTGAATAGTGGAGGCAGAGGCATTGGATATTTTTGAGGCACAGACAGACAGATTCATGATTAACACTGGAGTCAAGGATAATTGGGGAGAAGACAGGAATATACAGTGTCGGGGAAAATGCTGACAGTGGTACAAAATAAAACTGTGGATGACCAGAACACCTAGGAATACAAGGGGAAATGGAATGATAATGTAAAGAATGTTTAAAATTGCTAACAGTGATAGAACAATGTCGCTATAGTCCTGGAGGACCATGGAGCTGCTATCCCATTAGGGAGAGACCCCTCATGGCAGTTTAACTTGAGGGTTACCACACCTCAGGCGGGAGGCGAGGTTGACAAAGTGGGACCTTCATGGCAATCTCTGTCAGTGTGGGGAATTGAACCTGTGCTATTGGCCTCCGTCGGCATCGCAAACCAGCCATCCAGCCAACTGAGTGGGAGACTGTGCAACAACTACAGATAAAAATAGTCAAAGACAATGGACATCAGAAACTTTGATAACAAGGAAGAAGCTACATGTCAGATAACGTTCAAGATAACAGCTGAGGACAAAATAAGTTCTGAGTTAGAAACTGTATTTTTATAATGAGACAAGTGTTTAGATCCTGTCTTTGGTTGAATGCAATAAGGTGAGATAAGAGGAATATCCAGAATTACTAATTATGTTTGGATATTGATAATCATTATACCAGTGTATATTTTTGTTTGGTCTATGTGAGGTATTCTTGGTTTACATAAAGGGATAAAGCTGATGGAATATACTATTTGAAAATTCCGTCCTCATGGGAAATGGTTCCCAAGCACATACTTGAAAAAAAAGTGTCAAAAGTGTCCCACTGTTGTCTAGTCAGTGACAGGAACCTGTGGAGTTGAATGACTGAAAATCCCTGTAACTTGTAGCTCAGGGCCCAATCAGGTCAGCCCTGATCTTGTTGAATGATGGAGCAGGTGTGATGGGCTGAATGGCCTCATGGTGGACTTTAATTGCATGTGATTGAAAGAAATAAAAACTCTTCTCATTCCCAGTTACGTGTAACGCACTGAGGGATTGACAATTTCCTGAACCTGGGAATTGTTTAGAATATTATCAGGAACATTCTATAAATGATATCATCCAGAAAATTGTAGAAATGGCATTCTCCAGAACTTTCTATGACCATGTAGTGTTATTGTGCAGGCAACAGAAGACGGGGCGGGGGTGTGGGGGAACGAGGGGTGGAGAGAGAGAGAGATAGAGAGAGGGGGGAAGTTGCTGCATGCAGTAGTGAGAGTGGTGGTGCGTGAGCATTGTTCAAGAGGTAGGTTCTATACCAGATATATAGTGTGTGTGAGGGAGCAGAGAGAATACTTGGCACTTATCCTGGCAGAGTGTGGAAGGAGGAGAACACGACCCCATCTCCGTCAATGGAACTGAGGTTGAAAGAGTGAAGAGTATCAAGTACCTCGGAGTGATGATAACTGATGAACTGTCCTGGGCTTCCCACGTAAATACAATGGTCAAGAAGTCACAATAATGTCCCTTCTTCTTCAGGGAGCTCAGGAAATTTGACATACCATAAGTCCCTCACCAACTTCTACAGAGGCAGCATTGAAAGTATACTGGAGATAGTAAGAACTGCAGATGCTGGAAAATCTGAGATAACAAGGTGTAGAGCTGGATGAACACACCAGGCCAAGCAGCATCATAGGAGCAAGAAGGCTGACATTTCAGGTTTAGAACCTTCAATCAGAAAGGGGGGAGGGGATGGGGGTTCTGAAAAAAATAGGGAGAGAGGGGGAGGGGGTAGAAGATGGATAGAGGAGAAGATAGGTGGAGAGCACCACCTATCTTCTCCTCTATCCATCTTCTATCTGCCTCCCCCTCTCTCCCTATTTATTTCAGAACCCCCTTCCCCTCCCCCATTTCTGATGAAGGGTCTAGGCCTGAAACATCAGCCTTCCTGCTCCTATGATGCTGCTTGGCCTGCTGTGTTCATCCAGCTCTACACCTTGTTATCATTGAAAGTATACTGCCTGGCTGCATAATGGCCTGGTATGACAACTGCTCTGCCCAGGACCATAAGAAACTACAGAAGGCGGTGTCACAGCCCAGACCATCACGGAAACCAACTTTCCATCAATGGACTCTAATTGACTTGATGCTAAGGAAAGGCTGCCAACATCATCAAAGACCCATCACACCCTGGTAATGACCTCCCACAACCTCTTCCATCAGGCAGAAGATTAAAAAAAGCCTGAACATACACACGAGCAGGTTCAGGAACAGCCTCTTTCCGGCTGTTATCGGACTGTTCAATGGACTCTAGGCTGAAATAATGTAAACTGCAATGTAACCTGTATGCCTCTAAGTCTTTTTGATCTGTACATCTTTTGCTTGCTGTGATCTGCCTGTACTGCTCATAAACAAAGCTTTTCACTGTATTTCAGTACATGTGACAATAAATCAATTATTCAACCAATCAAGGTTGTTGATGCTTGTCCTGTATTGCTGGACAGTTCTTCAGACAACAGGTACTGCACTGAGCTGGGTGGTGACATCAGACCATGCTCGATGGGTCTGTTGGTGTGGCCTCCTCTTGGAAGAGAATGGTCCCCCTCTGTACTAACCCATCCACCAGGACCCCCATGCACCTGTTGACAAATCGTGGTGCAATTGCTCACTGGTAAACTGTGCAGATCCCAACACAG